CTTTTCCGTTGGCCTTATTCATCGTGTTTTAAAAATGTCTTATTTTTAGTTTAAATACCTGAGTGGTTCGAACTAGTGGATAGTATCTATCAAATTTATAGGTAAGAATATCGTATTGGGCATATTATATTATTAGACTTTTATTGGTGTTTAAATTTTAAAATTGTATTATTGTCTTATAAGAAATCGCAATAATTTTAAAATTAATAAATTTATTGTTTTTTTCTTTTATCCGCTTACCATCTAATTAAATATATAATATATTATTAAAAGTAATTATTCATATAATAATTATAGTGCTTAAAGTATGAAATATTTCACAAAACGTGAAACATTGGAATTTTTTTTAAACAAATAAAAATACAATTTATTTTTTTTTTTAACACAATGTTCAGTGTTCTAAATTCTAATGTCAGAATTCAGTAGGTATACAATATACATGTATAATATTGTATACCTACTTGTATCATTTAAACATTAAAATATTTAAAAATGTTGAATACCATTTTAAATGTATAATACCAAAGGTTAGGTATACATACAGGTACCATACAGTTATAAAGGTAATTTATGACAATTATATGTAAATATAAAAATTATTTAAAAATAAAAAAATATATTAAAATACTGAAATATTTCACGAAATATTTAAATTTCATGAAATTTTTAAACATTAAATAATTATAAAATTGTAAAATAGATTTTTAAAAATACTTAAAATAGGTATGTACTAATTATTTCTATATAATAAATTAATAGTAGTTATTTGATCGAGAGGAATAGTTAGCCATACAATTAGATAACTTTTAATATTACACACGAATACACGATTCGTCAATAATAACCATATCATTTTTATGTTCGACATATTTTAATAAAGGTGGGTAATATGGTTACCGCTTTGCTGTATGGTAGGTGTCTAGAGGAGTCACTGTAGCGAATGTTTCAAAGTTGAATACAATATTATAAAATCATTGCATATGAAAAACGATTATGAGCCAATTTTGTCTGAGAGCTTATAATATTACTAATATATGTTTATATTTTATGATATTATAGTTAGGTTAAAGTAATTTAATTTACTATTAAATATTCGACATTAAGAGTAGATTGAGTTAATTTTTGCCAAATTCTGTGTATACAATATTAATTTTAACCTATATACTTTAAAATTTTAAGTATTCAATAATATTTTTAAATTATAACAAAATAACTAAAATTTTTATTTGTCGTTTAAATATCTGAATTTGTCAAAATTTGAAAGCTTTTTTAAAATTTAAATGATGATAAAAAAAATTGTGAATTTACTTATATTAATATTTGTCAACTACTATTATAAAAAATTATTAGAAAAATTGTGTTAAATTTCCAAAATTTTTGGCCTAAGAAAAAATGTTTGATTCACATTTATAGAAAAAAAACTGAAAACAATTGAAATTTTTATATGTGGTTAAAAATAGCTCAAAACAATTAAAACTGTTTTAAAATTATTTCATGTAAGTATAGAAAATAATAACAATAAACATTTGGTGAAAATGTATCTACAGTTATTCGTTTTTGAATTAAAACAAAATATGAATATCGATCGATGAGAATTCGTTAATTTACGGGTACCTAAATATCCAATGTTGAACAATTTTAAAACTTAAATAAAAAAGGTGGGTAAGTGGGTGTCGCTCTGCTGTACAGTAGGTTACAAGTGGGTCACTGTATAATGGATTATATTAAATTTGAATTCAACGATATAATATCATTGTATAAGAAAAACGATTCTGAGCGGAGACGGTATGTCAGTCTAGGTATACGACATATTATATACATATCTATGGTACTAAACCAAAATTTGACCTATAATAGGTACCTATAATAAATTCCAAATTAATCATATCACAATATCCATTGGGTACTTATAACGCGTTATACATAAAAAAAAGTGATACTATCATAGATATATAATAGTATACTTTAGAAGTTTCAAGTACCCACGAATAATATTATTCAATCACAACAAAATAACTAAAATAGTTATTCTAGGTTTTTTTTTTAATGTAATTTAGTCCAAATTTGAATTTAAAATGTCTGTAAAAAATAACTGTGTTCATATATTTTTTAGATTTTTTGGTTACAGTATGAACTATTTATGAGAACATTTGTTTTAAATTTTCAATCCTTAGCTATAAAAACTGAACACATTATAATTTATTAATTACGATGATTAATAATTTTCGAGATTTTGAAAAATTCTGTCAAAATTCGATGTTAAAATGCTTATAAAAAAAATTGTGCCTATGTATTTTTAATATTTTTCAACTGATATTGTAATAATATATCAGGAGCCTTGTATTAAATTTTTACACTTTTTGGCTCAACAGATAAAACTTAATTGATATTTATAGAAAAAGAAAACTAAAAAAATTGAAAACTGAATATGTCCGTAAACGGCTCAAAAAGAGTCAAATATTTTCAAAATTGTATGGTGTATAGGAAATGCTAATATAAACATTCAGTGAAATTTTCATGTATCTACAGTAATTCGTTTTTTAATTAAAACAAAAAAAGGAAATTGCCACATGAGAAATCGAGTGAATATCCAATGTTGTAAAAATTTGAATTTCAAACGCTCATAAAAATTTAATTTGACTTTCCGGTAGAGATTTTTTTATTGATAAAGGTAGATAATCTTATGAGTAATCTTGTATTAGATTTTCAAATCTTAGATTTAAAAAGAAAAATTTTTACGAATTCTTAACTCAAAATAATATGCTAATTTTCGTGATTTTTCCATATTTTGTCAATTTTTGAACTTTAAATGCTTATAAAAAAAAATTGTGACTAAGGATTTTTAATATTTTTCATCTGCCTTTGAAACAATATATTAGGAGCCTTCTATTAAATTTTCAAGCTTTCGCAACCAACAAATAAAATTTTATTGATATTTCTAGAAAAAAAACTAAAAAAAAACTAAAAATGAAAATGTCCCTAAACTGTTCAAAATAAATCAAAATATTTTTAAAATGTTATCGTGTATAGAAAATGAAAATATAAACAACCACTGAAAATTTCATGTATCTACGGTTATTTGTTTTAAAGTTATACCAAAAACCAAAATCGATTTTTTGGAAAACCGATTTTGCGTAAAAATTCCCGTTTTTCCTTAATTTTTATGTTGTTTTTCCCGGCGCTCTTGAAAACTACTGGGAAATTTAAATTTTGACCTCCCCAATGCACCAACGATATTCACTTTCCAATCGAACAAGATACTGAAGTCGAAAATCGAAGCATTATTTCGACTACTTATCGTGTACACAGACACAAAAAAATAAATAAAAAAATAAAAAAAAAAACACACATCATTGTAAAATCAATACATTCATCGTTTCACTCAGAATCTAAAACGATCAACTTTATTTTTTTTACTTGTTAAAGCACTTGGGGAATTTAGTTATAAATTGAAAAAACTTAGACATAAATAAAGCAATTTTTATGAATTTCTATCTCAAAAATGAATAGCATATTTTCTGGATTTTGACAGAATTTTCTAAAATTCTCACTTCAGATGTTGATAAAAATGTATTGTGGACTTAAACTTAACTTTTATTTTAATTTCCATTAACAAAAACCTATGAGGAAAATTTTATTACATTTTCAAGTTCTTTGACTGAGCAAAAACCTTTTTTTGACATTGATTAAAAAAAAAATAAACTTATAAAAATTGACTTTTTTTTATACAACTAATGAATTTGGCGTATTTTAAATTCGAAGTTTCTTGTACTTATATAATAATAATCGTAGATAGGTACTTGAAATAATCACAAAATGTATATATTATGTGAGCATGTTCTATACGTCACCGTCATTACAACATTAATGTCTTTTTGACCTATTTTTATAGCTATAACTATTGGGTATTAGCTATGCACCTTTGACATTTTCCATTTTTTTTATCTTTTTCATTATTATACACAGATAAAATTTATCAATGATAATTTGAATATGGCTATGGCTATTCATCTCTTCTCCGTTCAGAACTCTTTTTCATATGGAATCATATCATTGGATTAAAATATAAAATATCGATTACATTGGCCTACTCAATGACCAACAAGGTAAACATGAAATCTACTATATGTTTGACTAGTTTGTGAGACTTTCCTGTTTTTTTTTTCTATTGAAAAATATTATGTAGTTTATTATTATAATTAAATTATATTCCAAGTTTTTAATTATATTTTCTATGAAACTATAAGACGCTATATTATAACACGTTTTAAAGGCCTAGTGGAATCTACTGATATTTTCCGAATTTTTAAATAAAAATCCTAAGAGACTGTTTAGTTTGAAATTCATTATAATAATTGATACGTTAAATGCGTAGATTACGTAAAATTATATTTTCGTTATCTGAAAAAATAATAATTTATAAAACTAATGGTTCATATTAATATGAAATTTGAGTCACTATTATTAATTGTAGAAATATAGTCCAATAATCAAAAACAATACGGTTTTATAAAATGATTTTCAATTATAATTGTATATAACAGAACAATTATTATCTTTTACAACCATACGATAATAACATCATGATTGACAGTTGATTTTATAAATTAATGGAAAAAGTACTATAATATAGTAATAAAATGACACGCAATAGAACATAAAAATAAAAAAAAAGGTGGACGATGAATAAACTATTAAAATATTGTAATGTCCCATAACATTAGTACAAAAACAGCGTTTCATTAAAATATTACGAATAATATTTCCCGTTGGTACAGTGGCACCGTAGTGTCAGGACTCGGAAGTTTGATGCATATTATAATAAAGATTGATGAAATTTTGTAAACGAACAACAATAATAATGATGATAATAAATAATAATAAATACTACTAATTAATACAATAAATAATCGTGTCATAACTACAGTGCGTGTGGTACACACATTGTCGAATGACGTGTTCAACAATTATTGAACTTTTGTAATTCTATCTTTAAATAATTATGGCTTGATGTATGATCTGTAAGCCAACATCTGACTTGCAGCAGCAGCAGCCTCCGACGACAGCGAAGACGACGCAGACCTCTTGTCCCAGCCGCCTCCATGGCCACCCGAACTTCCACCAGATGGCCACCCGGAAGAGTGGGACTCGTGCATCATGTGTTCACCTCCACCGCCTCCAGACTTGGACATGAGCTTCTTGAGCGTGATGATCAGCGACAGGACCAGAGCAATTTTGCTGATTATCAACGCTTTTCCGGCCAAAAGAAACAGCAAGCCGAGAGCCAGTGGTATGATCATCATCGCCTTCATGGCACCCATCGTCATCATCATTCCCATGGTTTTCTTCATTTTTCCGCGACCTTTGCAAACCGAAAAACACCATTAGTAAATTGTTTGAAATTAAAATGCATATTGTTTTTATTCGTCTGAGGATATTTCAAAACAAATATATATTGTAACGTACCTAAAACTATATTATGTTATTTTTTAACGCGTTTCGAGGATCGATTGTATATCGAAACGAGTTACAGCGACGGATAGTTATCGTGACAAACGTTCGGCAAAATCAAATGCCTAAGGAAAAATAAAAGTACCAACTGATCGGACAAGGACTTCGCGGTTTTTCGAGTTCCTATAGCAATACAATACGCGAAAAGGAAAATCGCATAATATTATTATTGTTACGAATAACGATCCACAGCCCTAGATTTGTCGTTATTGTTGTCATCGTCTCCATTGTGTGTTGCTCATATCGCGTGTAATTAGCGCCCCGGCGAAAGGATAATATAATATATCACAGGTAACGCGTACACACACACACACACACACACACACATATAATTACATATTTATATTATTGTAAAATCTTATATTATGTAGGTGCGGTATGTCTGTCCGAATGGAGTCCGCTCTCGTATTAGTGACGGACTGACACACACATACACTCTCGCGCGCGTGCGATATTGTTGTAATACCATTTTTATATATATTATATACATATATTTAAGCGCAAAATAATATATAACATACAATATATTATACCTATATATAAGTATACTATGTATACCTACGGTACACTAATTCCGTTTCGGTTTTCGTTTGTTTGGGTTTTTTTTTTATGCATTTGCATTTGATATTATTTGAAAAATCGCTACGCGTCAATTGTGTTGTACCGTCCGAATGAAAAACACGAGCCACCCGTTTGTGAAAATATGTAGCACAGACACGCACTCATTCAGCTCAATTTTATGACTCTCGACGCATAATAATGATAATATTATCGTTACGCGTTTCCGATCTGCGCCCGATCAGGATCCGAACCTACCCTTAACCTTCTATAATATTACCATTTGCCCACGTCCACGGTAGATTTACGATATTATGGTAAATTAAAGATTTAAAATTTTAATTAATTTGAATGATAAAATAATATTATTTATATTTATTTAAAAATTCAAATATGAGATGATATTATGCTACAGATGACGAAGTGACGAGTAAACAGTTTTTGCATTAAAAGTATATTATTATTGTTATGTCCGATGCCGTCTATATTATGCATAATATTATAATATATATATTTTGTTTCACGAAAACTCTACTGTATTAGTAAATACAGACTGAGTGACCCACCTTCTTTACGCCGACTTCAGCATGGACGACGATAATATTATCATTTTCTAATAATAAATTGTAAAATGTATTATATTATTCACCAATATTATATTCTAGAGTCTAGAATATAATATTGGTTAGAATCTAGACTATTTTACATATTGTTGAACATATTATTGTAATATTATCATATTTTATTGATTTATAATATTAATGACATCTATTTTTAACAATGTAAAAAATGTGTAATACCTACGCACTAACAAAAAGTGTAGGTATGTGACAATGTCAGGATAGCTTTAAAAAAAATAAAACTATAAATAGTTTAAAGTATTAGAAATTATAATATGTATGAGATATAATATTTCATGGTTTTTATTAAATGTGTAATATTTTGGTATTATATTTTTAAGATAAATTATATATATTTTGATTTTGATTTCTGATAAGTATGGATTAGTTATTACCTTGTGTAAATGCATTAATATTTAAATATTATATTATTATTGTTTAGAAAAATCTATCTATATTATAATATTTTTAAATTAATATATTTGATATAAAACAGAACTATAGTATAAATTCTAAAACTTTGGTAAAGAAAACAAATTTTAGTGTTTTATTCATTTTTATAACTATGTTATTTTTAGATATTTAAAAACATGAACATGAATTGTTTAAGTTAAATCAAAGTATAACAATAATAGATTATAAATATATTGTTTAAAAATATATTATATTGGTTTTTATTGAATATAAATTCCTAATCATTAAATTTGATAAAATGTCGTTTTATTATTGTGAATATAGTTGTCGACTGAGCATTACACATTTTAAATCTGCTAAACTACTCTAAATCTATTATTTTATTAAGTTAAAACAGTTTTTAAGATAAAATTTAAATACCTACATCCAGCCTAAAATTAATATTTGCAAATAAAAAGAGAAGTCGTTTGTACTTTTTTCAAAGTTCTGACTTTTCGATTATGCATCTCTAGTTATACCCTAGCTTATACACTGATGATAGATATAATATAATATATTTATTGTTATGTCTATGGGTTTATAAAAGTATTTATTTCAAATCCTTTTTACCTTCTTCCAGGGCTGTTCTCAACTGGTCTGGTGTAACTTCGGGCAGACCGACTTTGACGACTCGACCACTCAGAAGTCTGACCGCCTTGTCGTACAGCATGTTGTTGAGAGTGTCGTCCGGTTTTGACTGGAGTTCATTTTCTGAAACCACCGGGCCCTGATCCGACCTTTGTCGGCGGTGAGTTGAGTCCCCGTGGACCAGGGTCACTGATCCGGTTACTGGCAACGAATCGTCTCGAGACATGCGGTCCAGTGTCACGATCGCCTTTGCCTTGAGACACGTGATGAAATCGTCTACGTTGCCTCTTTCGTCGCTGTCGCTGGATCGCAGCCCGCAGAAAGCTTTGGACTGGCCAACGCCCAACGCCAAAATCACCACCACACACACCAACACTGAATGTAACCGATTCATTATACTATCAGCGAACCGTTTCCAAACGAACTGTCACTGGACCCGGTATCGAGTTATCGCAAAAATTACCGCACGACGTGTACTAACTATAATAATTATGAAAAAACAATAATATTGTATATTATTATGCGAAGATATCGATTCCGACTGTTAAGACGGTCTGTGAATTCGCCCCGATAGTAGCTGTAGATGCTTCGACGACGAAACGTGCACTGATAGCTGGGTTTCCCGGACATTCAGTATATATACCACCGCCGCAGCGGAAAACGCGCGCGAATCACAACCACGGTCCAGGTCTGCTCTTGGGCGGCGCCCCTCCGAACGCGCACTTGACCTCTAACACCCGTGCTTTCTTCTTATTCTCTCACGATCGTTGTTAGCGGAGTAGTCTATGACGACGACGATGGATGATTATAATATTGTTTTAGCAGGGTCACAGTGGTAAGAGGGTGTGTGCGGGGTAATAGTCTCCGGAGTCCGGAGTAGGGTGTAATATTATATGATATTTTCACCTCGGGCGAATGTCGATACACTATAGCTACTCGGCCGTTTTCGCGAAATAAATGTTCATTTAATTTGAGGCTGCCCAATAAGCGTATAGTATATTACGTTAATTGTTTCTTGTGATAATGCGTTTTTATAACGTGTCGACGGGAAGACTTTCACACGTTGCCAGTATTGGATATTGCAACAAATCGACAATCGCTGTAAAGTATTGTAAGAGAGCTTGCCATTTGAATGGAATTGGATGGTTTTTTTCAAATGCAATAATTTATTTCACCAAATTTCCATATTTATAATACCATTTCTTTCAGGTTTTTAATAATATTAATATACCTAATATTAGTGTACCTATTATAACTGATGAATTGTCTTTAAAAATAATGACAGTACAACTGTGAGTATATAGGTGTGTCTTATATTTAATATATCATAAGATATGGCTTGAATCTATAAAAGTACTTTTTTGTTCAATTTAATTATTGTATTTAATTTATTATAAATTCAACTTTATTAAAAACGAACAGAATTTTGGTTACGCATTTTATTTTTAATTCGAATTAATATTTTGTTATTTATTTTTTTCAGCTGCTCAACCCTGTCAAAAAGCGTCTTTCTAGTGGACGACATGTTATCATAATGTATTATTATTAATCATTAAAACTATATAGGTAGAACTGTGTGTCTGTGTGTGTTACGCATAAAGTACTCAAACACAGTACACCATTAAGTTGTACACGATTCCGGAAATCTGCCACGTAAATCTCTCGTTTTACTCACTAGATTCCTGAATAATATATCTCGGATGAACATCAACCGCCGACGATGTCCGCACGATCACAGGATTTTTGTCTCGTTATATTGTGTTTTTTATTTCACGTCCGTTTAATTCACTGCGTATTTGTTACCCAAACCGAAAATATTTCTCCTCTGAAGACGGTATTTTGCAGTGTACCTATATTTTATTCAGTTACTTAAGTTTCGTTTTCGTTTCTTGAATGCCGACTACCGTTTTTCTCCATTCATCGAAACAACTTTACAGTCTAATACAAAATATGCAGGTATAAGGCGTATATTCTTGTAGCTTTATCTTATTGATGTGTGAGAGATTATTAAATTATATATCAATTTGACGCAAAAATATATTCATAATAATATATCTGCAGTTTGATAATATGTGAGTGTCCATAGTGCATTAGATATTGTATTTGGATATAAGTTGAATATTATAAAAATATAGGTATTCATAATACATCTAGTAAATATAATATTATAAGAGTTGATATAGGTAAATTAAATATGTGTATTTAGATACTATAGTTGAATGTTCAAAGATATTAATAATAATATAGCCAATATCCATTATATTATATTATTATGTTGTTGATATAATATTTAGTATTTTTATTAGAATAAATTAGGTATCTGGTTGATATAATATTATGTTGTGTATGGAAGTTAATAAAGACATTCTGTGGATATTAACATACAATTAATAATATTTAAATAATATTTTATTGTATAAGATTATAATGTTTATTCAATATATTTCTACTGTAAGGGAAACGACAATGATGACTTACCATCAATGTATTATTATTGCATGGAATGTTGCATTTATTATTCGATTTATTTGGTAGTTAATAACTAATAAGTAATAACTATAAGCTTAACTTTTTTCTGGTACAAAAGTAATATGTTATTAACCCAAAACACAATAGATATATCTAATGGTTTTTTTTTTTTGCAAATTCGATCAATGTTACAATTGTAGAACGACAGATAGAATTAAAAATCTTTCATAAGCTTCACACGCAAATATTTAATAATACAATAATATAATAGTTATGACCTAAAATAATATCATTTAGTACCTAGGCAGGTACGTTACCTATTATTAAAGTGTAATTAAATTTCTTGGGATCATACACAATGTAGGTATACCATACGCGTATAAACGCGCAAACCATTTAAACGTGGTATAATACTCTATAAAGGATGTTGTACACTTTCCATCCTGCTAGGTAGTGAGTTTTTTTTTTGTAATAGGTGGATAGGCATATTTGTTGGTGTACCTACCTAACATTATAATATTATTATAATATATGTTGTATTGTGCTTTGAGTTGTGTTTATTCTTGGCTCTTGGGAACATGTCCTAAACAAGAGAGACTACCCAGTGTTGTACGAGTCTCCGACAAAGACAAACGATACGCAATATACATAAAATAACTCCTCTGTACAATAACATGTGAGTATTTTATTCTCACGTGTGCACCGGACAAAACGATTAAGCAGCGTTGTAGATGTAGGCACAAAAATAATATTGTTATAATCTCACTTGATTTCTCTGCGCAGGTGCACAATATAATATTGTTATAAATTATAATAATATTATATAGGTATGTTTTTGTTTGCGAAATCGCTAGCAGCCAGTTGGGTACAACTAGGTGCATTGTAATATTTTATCAAGTAATATAAAATATTTAACGTATATTATTATGTACATTATTATTATTATTATTATTATTATTATATTATTCTCCCGTCGAAGTACTGAAAACGAATTCGGACAATGACACCCGGATAAAGAAGAGACGCTAGTAAGTACCTACTAAATACACTTACGTGCACACGACGTATTGTTGATAATATACGCGTATCCCGAAGACATTTCTTCCGGTGAGAATATTCGCGAATAATACAAAATATACAAACCGAAAGTCCGAACACATAATAATAATATTATATTATACAGGCCATAAACGGTGTACCGACGAGATTAGGTGCCTACCTCAGAGCTGATTAGAAATACTTTCTACGCGCACATAATAATATTATATTATCGTTATATATGAACATTATTATCACCGATGGATAGCAAACGGCCGTTGTAGTTGTATTATACATTATACCTAATCATAATAATATGTAACGCCGTAGCCGAGGCATGCAAATCGGACCGCGTTATAAGTTGGATTCGATATTTTATAAACGGCTGGTACTTGCCTATATCGCAACAATAAAACGCGAAATCCGTTTCTTCGGTCTGAAAAGGGCAATCGGAATACAATAAATTTTCTAGACGCCAGTGCGTCTACAACTGCAACACTCGGTGTGTAGAAATTTAATTGGGAATCACTACGATAATACACCGTTATCACCGCGTGCCGCCGACCCGTCATCGTAATAATACGAAAAATAATATAATATAATATTATTATACTTCGTATTATTATACCGTTCATGGTTTCCAGATGCTCACCTAGTAATGAAATTTAGAGTAAATCGACCAAAACTGATCCGCACAATACAAATACTGTGTTCGACACGCTATCGTGAGCAGCTCAAAAACATACTGTGGTTGGGTGAATATTTACAAAAACAATAAAAACGAAATTGAATTTTAAAACATTTGACGAGTACTTCCCTCTGTCGTCCCAGAGCAAAATATATCTGTGATGATACAATTATATCTTATATTATTGTATACGAATAATGTACTTGGTTTTTTTTTTCTAAATTCATAATCAAAAATATAGAACAAGTTTCCAAATTTTATAAATCAATTTTATGTTTTATTAATGTTCTTAATACTCTAAATCAAAATGAATCAAAAGAAAACTTTGATATTTAAGTACGTAAACTTAGTACTTATAAATGTTATGACTGCGTACTATAAAATATGAAAAAATTGTGTTTATAGTGGTGTGTGCAAATCCAACTACCAAAATAATATCTTCATTGCTTTCATTGTTTCAATAATATTTTCCAACTGCTCGGATTTTGGAAGCATCAACGAATTTTCACTGTTGGTATGTTATCATTTTTACACATTATAAAATAATATACAATATTATAATATAAATTACATAATTCGATATAACTATATAATATGTATTAGGTATAGTAGTATCTAGTACATATGTTTAACACTACAATGTATACATTTTATTTGGATAATCAATAATAATTTATTTATTCATTATCGTGTAAAGAATTTATTTATAGATTTGCAGTTCGTCGCTTAATCGCATTAATGTAATTATAGCTTAAAATTTTATGTCAAGGGCATTTTAGTAATTTCGGGCAATAACTCTGCAACTGCCGTCAACAAATAGGAACAACGCAAGAGTTTTGATGAACGGGTTTTGTTCAAAAATGTTAAATGGAATAAAAAATGACCACATATGCCATACAACACCCATTATTATGACTTACTAAGCCCATCAAGCCATACAGTGGTTTTTTCAAAAAACATAATATAATAGGTAACGGATGTATCGATAGGACGTAACCTACTAACCCGAAGCCGAAGCTGCGTTAAGATGACTAATCTATTAAACACTACACAAGTAATGTTTCAATAGTAAACTATATTAGACCACTGAGGTACCTCAATTTTCGTAAAAGAAAAAAAAGTAGCGTTATGAATAGTGAAACGCCAAATTATTGTCGAGATTTTGAAGCGCCAGACACTATAATTTGATTACTTTTCAG